CCTCCCCTCTCCCCTCCATAGGGTTATCAACGCTTCCTCCCCCCCCACTTATCCCCTCCAGAAAGTAATCAATGCTTCCTTCCCTCCCCTCTCTCCTCCAGAGGGAGAGGGTAATCAATGCTTCCTCTCCCCACCAATCCCCTCCAGAGAGGGTAATCAATGCTTCCTCCCCCCCCTTATCCCCTCCAGAGAGGGTAATCAATGATTCCTCTCCTCCCCTCTCCCCTCCAGAGAGGGTAATCAATGCTTCCTCCCCTCCCCTCTGCCCTCCAGAGGGTAATCAATGCTTCCTCCCCTCCCCTCCCTTCCAAGGGGGTACCCAATGCTTACTCCCCTTCATCCAGGGAGTAATCAAGCAGACGGGCATTTCTTACAGTGTGATTCCACCACAGAAATGCTACGCAACCCGAAGGCAGTGAACTACATTGCTATTTCCTAACGAACTGCTCTGCAAATAACCTGTCTACCTTGTAGTCATCTATCCATCCACTTCACTACCAGCTCATTAATCAATCGTGACCATTTTCTTAGGGTCTCGCTCACCACTCACTGCATGCACAAAAAGACAAAAATTATGCCGGTGCATTTTTCCATGGAAGATTTATTTTCATTTTGCACATTTGGTGAGTTGTGGAGCGAGGCCCTATGCTACCCTAGGATTCTCGACGCTTCCGTTGGTCCTGCGGATCAGAGGGAGAGAGAGAGGGAGGGAGGGAGATTGCGCCACCATAAGCACACAAAGCTTTGCTGGCAACAGAGAGCAACGCGAGGCAAGCCGTGCGACGGCAAATGGGCACAAGAAGTGTGTGCACTCAGAGTGTAAAAGGACAACAGGGAGAAGATGAAGGGAGGTTGAGCGTCAGGAGGAGGAGGAGGAGAAGGATTGATTTACCAAGTACATGAATCGAACTCGGTTCCTGATATTGTCGTTGTTTGAAGGAATCAATAATTGCTCCTCTCCTCCTCCTCCTCCTCCTCCTCCTCCTACTGCTGCTGCTGCTGCTGCTGTCACTTCTGCTCCTACACAGATTGCTGCCGCTGCAGCGGCCGCCATAGACTTCCGCTTCTTCCAACGATACTCCACCCCCAAGATCTTGAGATCCCCGCGCAAGTCCCGACCCATCCGGGGAGGATTGATTTTTATACATGGTACACGGCAATTGGGTATGAATGGGTTCCTGAATTCTCGTCGTTCTTGTTAAAAGGAATCCATGATTGCCTCCCCCCCGCCTCCTCCTGCTGCTGCTTCTGCTGCCACTTCTGCTCCTCCACCGTTTACCGCCGCCGCCGCCGCCATAGCCTTCTGCTTCTTCCAGCGGTAGGCCGCCTCCAAGATCTTGAGGTTGGGCGCAACTCCCGCCTCCTCCGGGAAGATGTAGTCGTAGTACTCCTCGAACCCTTCGTGCGTGCCATCGTCCATCAAGAGAGGCCTCTTCCTCTTCACTCTCTTGGGCATTTTCCTGTCCACTGCGCTAACCGCATCGGCATCCCCGGTGGCGCGCTCCATTTCCCGCCACGCCTCCAGCAACATGACTATCTCTTCCTTCTGATCCGCCGCCGCCGCCGTCGATTTCAAACAAGTCAACGCTCTCTCATACACCGCTCTGGCCATCTTCGCCCTGCCCCTAATCTGCGCCGCGAGAACCTCTCTATCCACCTCTCTCTTCTCTGCCGTCGCCGCCTGCTCCTCTGGAAGCGGCACCATCTCTTCGAATCTTGCATAACTAATCCACACCTTCACGTGCTTGGTCCGCTCCAGCAGCCTCTCGTAGAGCGATCTCGTCCGTTCAATCTCCCCTTCGGAGATCTCGAAGTCGATATACCCCTTCCAAAGGAGCTCGGGCGTGTCCAGCACTGGCTGAGAGATTGCCAGCTCAAAGATGGCCCGCCCACGCTCCGTTTCTCCCAACCACCTCTCCAATTCAGCGAATTTGCTCCACGCGTAGCAATTGGAAGGCGCCCACTCCAAGTACTTCTCGTACAGTGTTCGACATCGATCGATGTTCACTAGATGTAGTTCCATCTCTATATAGGTTTTGAAAATTTTGTCTTTTGGCGCCATTCCTATGGCATTCCCTAGGATCCGCCTCGCGGCGGCGAGGTTCTTCTGCCTCAACTCAAACTGCGCCGCCAAAATCCATATCTTCGCGAAGGAGAACGATTTATGAGGAATCAACTTGAGACACTGCCGATAAACCTCCCTTGTTCTCTCCACGTCCTCCGCTTCCAGCTCTTCGAATAACGCGTACTTAATCCAGAGGTAAATGTACCGCTGCCAGTAGCGTTTCTCGTTGCACGGGGGCACGTTTGCAATCGCCCTCTCGTACACCTCCCTCACTCTCTCCATCTCCCTTTCCCTCCCTACCTCCCCCTTCCCGCTCGTACAGCAGCTCTCCTCCAATCGCGCGTAATCGAACCACGCATCGTAGTTTGTAGGGTTTTCTCTCACCTGCTCCTCATACTGAAACCTCCTCTTGCTAACGATGACGTCTTCTATCCCCGTTCGATCGCCGTATTGCTTCTCGAAGGCCACGAAGGTTCGGTAAACCTCTTCCGCCTGACCCTTGGGAATGTTGTCCAGAGCGAATTTATATATACACCGAGCTCTCTCTAATTCCTTACACTTCTCCTCGAACTTAGCGAATGCAACGAACAACTCCTCCGTGTGCCCGTCCTCTCCTAGCTCCTCCACCGCTCGCTCATACACTCGTCGCGCTCTCTCGATCTCGCCGTTCTTGACTTCAAATTTGGCAAACTTTAACCACGCGCGGACGGAAGGGAGGCAGCGAACGTATCTCTCGAAGATGTGCCGCGCCCTCTCCGCCTCTTGGTACCTCAATTCCATCTTGATATAGGCCAGCCATCCGTTGTGATCGGGTTCCCAATTCATCCAGCGCTCGAAAATGGCCCGCGCTCCCGCCACGTTGCCTAGCATCTCCTCCATGTGGATGTACTTGTACCATAGCTGATCGACACGTGGCAGCAGGGTAACGGCCCTGTCCCAGACGTTGCGCGCGTGATTGACGAACTTGTGCTTCATCTCCATCTCCGAGTACTTTAGCCATAGCGTCGTGCTTCGGTAATCCACTTCCAGGGCTCGCTCCCACACCGAGCGCGCGCGGGCGAAATCCCGCTGACTCTCCTCCCATTGCGCATACTTCACCCACACGTGGATGTTCCATCGCACTCGACGAACCAAGTCCTCGAACTCCTTGCGCTTCCGCAGCCGATAATCCGCTAATTCCTCTGCATCAGTGATTTTCTGCTTCGGCGGACGCGGCTCCGCCTCCTGCCGCTCGCGCGCCTCCCGCAGAATCTGCTCCGCTGTGATCTGAATCGGCGCCGGCGTCTTGTTCTTCACACGTGTCGGCCGTGGAAGCTTCACCTCCGTCTCCTTCTTTGTCAAGTACCCCAACGCTGCATCCCCTACCTGCGCCATCTCTCTCTCTCTCTCTCTCTCTCTCTCTCTCTCTCTCTCTCTCTCTCTCTCTC